TTTTTTTGCGATATGGACATAAAATTTCTGTGAAATGGGGCAAATTTCAATTCCTCTGCCCTTTTCACTCCCCCTAATCCTTCCTTCTCTTTATGACCCCAGATGACTTGTCGCATGTATCTGTTAATACCATCCCAGTTGCATCGTCTTATATCACACTGGAACCAGCAGACAGTGGAGACTATTACTTACTATCAGTACAGACCACTTTAACCCCTTAAATTCCACATGTTCCTTCCAAACAGTCATGCAAGCAAACAGACAAACTCATCCTGCTTACCCATCATATCGCCTCACCTTGGGGGCAGCCTGAAAGACACGGAGCTGTTGAGAGTAGGGCAGAGAAGCATAAAGAGGCAGCACCATCATCTGTGGGCAGCCATCAGGGAGATGCTTGGCAATGTCTCGACAGGTTTTGGTCATTGCTTCAATTTCTTCCTGACCAGTCAGAAACACCAGCATGTCCTGAGAAGAGGGTGCTTCCTGGAACCAGAGGAAAAAAGCAAGTGAGAAGTTAAGATGGTTTGGATAGGGAGGGAGAACCGAGGTTGTCCCAAGATGTTGTCCTGACAGCAAGCCAGCAAAGCAGGTAAGGAAGAAGGAAAAGACACACATGCTGTGGAAGGTCTGCAACAGCCTGAATTTTCCAATGGATTCACCAGACGTGAAGGGGACACTGCATTTTGCAGGATCGAGTCTTAATGGGATGGAGGAATCATTTCAAGTCACATGTCTATTTTATTAAATAACTGTCCAGGACACACAAACAAGAGAGCCAGCAAGCACCCAGGTACAAGCCAGCAAACACAAAAAACTCGGGCGAGAGGAACATTTCGGTATTAGTTATGAACTGACATCAGAGATCTCTGCTTAGCAGTCTCCTTTCAACTCCAGCCTTGATGTACAAGTCCGCAAATCCTAACAGCAGCAGCAGCATCTTCAAAGCATTAAATGCAGCGCAACAAACAGTTTAATTAAATTATTTAACCATCTGGCAGCTTTGCATTCAAACATTTAGTCACAAAATGCCTGTTATTTTAATAGATCTCTACTTGCCCTGCAATTACACCTTGCCAGTAAATTAAAATCATCTTCACACTACTGTTAGCTTATGCCTGGATTTCCCGCCACAAGCCAAAGCTCTTTACAGCTGACCACTTCCAATCTTTCTTTCCACTTTCAAAATAACACCAGCACTTGTCAACCCCTCCCTTCAGCCAATCCAAGTCACTAACCCAGCACGCTCCCCACCTATCCCCTTTTCCCGGAGGATGCAGTGGAGCACCTCAGGGACATCTCTGATTTGGCAGCATCAAGCTTAAGCCACGTCTCCTGCCACAGCAACCTGTGAGCCCCCCCAACCAGTACTTGTTGGATGGCCCCAGGGAGGTGCAAACCCAACGAGACCACCATACCTGGTGGATTTGGAAGACTGACACCAGTGCTGCTTGGAGGTAATCACTCTGAGGCTGTTTGGTGTAAAAGATCTGAATGGGATGTTGCCGGCCTTCTAAATAGAGAACAGGAGCTCCATTGAAGTACTGGGAGAACTCGTCAACATCCATCGTAGCTGACATGACCACCACCTTCAATGGGAGCATAAGATGGGTTAGCACTGCAGTTCAGACCGAGCAGGACGCTTACCAATAATGACTAGCCACAAGTCAGCTTCTTGAGACTGAAATATATGCTCAGAACAGCAAAAAGCACACAGTTTGGCACAGGAGAGACTGATCTTTCCGTGTTAAAGCTTTGGTATCACACAAGCATAACATGCTGGTATGATAAAATGAGCTAAGACATGTTAAAATTCTCTTCCGACATTTAATAAACAGACCTGAGTACCCACAAAGCTAGGCTGCACAATGGTCTGTTGAACGACACAGTGCTACGACCCTACCAGTCCCCTACAGGCCTTCCTCATCAAAACCAACGTGCTCTCACACCCTTCATCATGCACTCACATAAATTCTTGTGCACCTGACACACACACGCAGTCTCCTTCCCCAGTGTGAGCACATCATACAGCTGTTGTACCAGACAGAGGGCTCCTGCATCTCCAGGGTACCAAAACTTCCCCAGACAAGGTGTCTAGTCTACAGCTCACACCCAAGGGGCTCTTATGAAAAAAGGCAACATGGACGTGACCAGATACCTTGTTTGGGCCCACACATGGTAAGTTCTATTCAGATTTAAAGGGGCTTCCTAGGAACAGGAAAATAGTCAAGACTGAAATTTCAAACACTTGGGAAAACTCCAGCAGATACTCCTAGTCCTCAGGGTCCAAGCCCCGTCCCTGCCATCCTAGATGCACATACTTTTAGTGGCAGTTTGCCCCGTTCCTTTCGCTTCTTTTGTGCGGCTTTCACCACTCCAAAGAGTACATCAGTATGGATCGTCCTCTCGTGGGCTTCATCCAGGATGACAACGCTGTACTTCCGCAGCATAGGGTCCCCAATAGCTTCGCGAAGCAGCATTCCATCAGTTAAAAACTTGATTCTAGTTTCATCAGATGTAAGATCATCGAAGCGCACAGTATAGCCAACCTGTGGAAGCGATCATTACAGAAAGTACAAGCACAAAGTTACTTGCATTTCGCATTGCCATCGTACCACAAAGAAGGACTACAAAGCACTCTGGTCAACGTATCAGACAGAGACAATCAGAACTCCAAGGAGACTCTGGAAAGCGTAACGGTGCATCTGCAGTCTGTGAGCAGTTAGCCGTGCAAATCTAATAATCCACCCAAAGGAAGCTCCCAACATTGTATCCCATTTAGCTTTTTCCCAACTAGAAGTTCATCACAAATGCTCCAAGTTGCCTTTCCTTCTTCTCCTGCTAGAAACTACTCCATGCTCTCTGAAGACTTTATGTAGGGGAAGTCCTTCTCCCCCACTTTTCTCCCACAGATTCATAGATGTGCAAAGATTCAGCACTCTGCTCTCCTTGACAGTCAATTTTGATACAGGGAACAATGCAAGAGAGTGCAGTATTTTTTGTTTCATTCACTAACGAGTATTTTTTCAAATGGAGGAACACAGATAATCAAGAAATAAAATACGACAGAGTCAAACATGCCCCTCCCCGGCCCCAGAAGCAGGTAAAAAGCCTTTTTTTTTTTTTTT